TTTCGAATTTTTCAATTGCAGTGAATACCTATCGAAAGAAAAAATTTGAATTATTTAAAAAAAAAAAATGAATGACGGCGGGATCGAACCCGGACCGTCGGCGTGATAGGCAAGCACGTTACCGTTAAGACAACGTGTTATTATGAAAATAAATTTTTATTAGTAGTATATATTTTCAAATGTTTAGTTTTCAAAAATGTCGAAATTGTCAATTTCACTGGATATCTTTCCGCTTTTCAAAAATTCAGTGTTTAAACGATATTTAGATTGATTAGCCAATTAAAAAAAGATATTTGAATTGAATTGAATGAATGAATTGAAATTGAATTGAAATTATTTAAAAAAAAAATGAATGACGGCCGGATCGAACCCTGGCCGTCGGCATGGTAGGCAAGCACGTTGCCATTTAGACAACGCGCTCATTTTAAAATTATAATTTCATTAGTGGTATATCTTCAATATATTAAATAATTTTTTCCATTAAAACTCCACAAGATGTGGCTTCCCCCTTCCGCTCGTTCTACAGTCGGCTAGATTTCAGTCAAACAAATAAAAAACAAAAACCATTCATGCCGCAGAAAATAAAATTCACCCCCTCGACTTGACGGACACCCCAGCAGTGCGTGTTGCACCCTCCCTCTCTTGGGGTGCAGTACTACGATGCCGCTGGGGTCACTCAAACCCCCCGAACTGAGCCTCTACTTTAGTCAGTCCTCTTTGATGTTTTATCAAAATATTGAAAACATCAATTTTATTTTCCATTCCATCTTCAAATAGTGACAGATGTCACCACCGATAAATTCCCATTCGTAAACAATAATGTTTACATTTTTATTCCTATTCTATCACAATTATTTTCCATCCAATGGCTCGTCCGATCCACTGGGATTTCTCAGTACTTCAAGGGCAGTTCCTGGAATTTCTCTCTCTCTTTTGATGGCAAAAAAAAAAAATAGTTGCCTATTTATAGGTCCCACCGAGATTTGAACTCGGATCGCTGGATTCAAAGTCCAGAGTGCTAACCATTACACCATGGGACCTTCCTCGATTTCTTCGAATTACCTCCACATTATCCCCACATCACAATAATTATTAATAATTTATCAAAATAATCCACCCAATAACTTTTCTCTAAAATTAAATCCAATTTGAATTTCCCGCAATTTTCTAAAGAAAAAGAGAGGGATTTTATAAAAATAGTTCGTTTTCTGAAATATCATTTTTCATAAATAACAATTACTCCATCAATATTAATTATTCCCATTAATAATATTGATGGTAATAACAATAATAGATTGATAATAATTATTAATAATAATTAACAATCCCGAAAATTAAATAGATAACGTTAATTAATTAATTGTAATATTAAAATTTGAATTATTGGAAATTTCTCTGGTTGTCGGTAATTGCGGGGGTGTTTCAAATTGTTTACATAATGCAACGAAAATTCAAAAAGCGGAAACATCGAAATCCGGGTTCTAGTTGTTTTTTGACTAGCTCATTCTCCGGTCTCCCGAAAGCCGGATAATGTCCGAAATATGGCCGCCATCATGGTGTAAAGCGAGGCACCTCGTTTTTTCGTGTCACCAAATAACCGCCGATCTAAAAACTCAATTCCAAAATTTTCAACTAAATTTTTTTACCCGCCAAAACGATTGAGCAAACATTTATCATAAAAAAATGTCAGTGCGCGTCGATTCAATTACCGAATCACAATGAATAAGTGGAAAGAGTGTTGTTAAATGAACTAGTGAATTGAATGCATTATTAGGTGAGTGCTAATGAGAAAAAAAGCGGTGAAATTTCCCGCTGAAAAATGTGCAAAACCATTCGCTATTTGTTGGGGTAAATGATCAGATTATTAATTACCAGTGGGAGAGATATGCGGCTGAAACAAATTATTCCGTCTGTTACTATCGCGCGGGATTATCCTGAATAGTTCAGGTTAATTCAACAATTGCTAACGATTTATTAATTTATTAATTGTATTAGGTCATTTTCCCCGGGCTGATGTCTTTTGAAATATTTTTTTATCTCTGTTGTTTTATTGCCGCGTGTTATAATCGTTGAATACGAAGTAAACAATGTGACTTGCAACACCGCGTGCTCCATAAATTAAAAGATTCACTGTGAAAATACCATGGGCTTCATTCATTAGTTCGTGGGATTATTTTAATGTTGATTATTTATTTTAGTGATAATCAATGAACATGTGGTTTTGATTACTCGACTGGAGGGAGCGAGATGATCAATTAAAAATTCGTTATTAGTGTTTAATTAATTTGTTGTACCGTCAGTTGAGTGGGAGATGACAACAAATGAATGTTTAGGTGTTTGACGACATGTTGAATTTATTTATTAGTGATTCTTGGAGTATTTTTTATTGGTGTTGGTATTTGAATCTGTGACAGTGGATTTAGCAAGACATCATATCCTGTTTGATCGTCAATACCTCAAGATTGTCAGAGTAAATTTCAATGATTTACGCGTAATTCAGAGAATATTTTACAACCTAGAAAATTACGTCAAATTAATTTGAATCGATTCACTCGTTCCTGAGATATTGACGATTAAAAATCCGGTCGAGCGATGAACGGAGGTGAGTTTTCCGGGAATATCTCCGAAACTAAAGGAGATAATAAAGTTTTTGTGAAAACCTTTCTCCTAGATCTAAGTGAGATCTACAAAAAAACTCTTCACAAAAATTTCGCTATCTCCCATATCTTCCGACATATTCCCAAAAACAACTCACAGAAATCCAATTCACAACTTTTTCACTGACTTCTCGAGGAATATCTCGGAATCTACTAGAAATCCCAAAATTTTCGTAATAAGTCTTTTTATAGCCTTCAATTCCCTCTCCAAAAAACGTAATCCCAAAAATTTCTCTATCTCCCTTCCACCCGGAGATATCCTTAAAAAACCCTTTAAACCGGTTTTTTCTTGAATGAAAAAGTTTTCTAAAAGACTTCTGGACGCCTTCAAGTCCCGCCAAATCCTTTCAATCGTATCACCCCCCGGTAAATTACCCCCAAAACATCCCCAACTTAAAATACGCCTTTAATTTCCAGACTAATCGCCAAAATAAATGCGCGCCAACTGACGCAATGCCAGCAGTAAGTGTCTGTGACCCAGTGACCTCAGCCCTCCGTCACTCATTGGAGGTACAAACAAAGTCCTCAGAGGACATAGCAGTCTCCCTCGCAAGCAACGCCTCCAGGATCCTACAGACAGACATAGACTACGAGGAGACATCGAGCTACGATTCAAAGGTGTTGGAGCACTTGAAGGCTAAATACATCGTGCTAAGTCTCCCTCAGGATCACTCGAACCCCGGAAAAGGTCCTCAATCCTCAAAAAAGCCCAATGATGTCAAACGAACGGGTCCCTCCCTGCCCGAGCCAACGACCGTCCTCTACCAACCCAACAAAATCACCCTCGGATGGAAGGGAACCCTCCCAGTGGGTTCTGGCATGTACAATGTCGGCAACACCTGCTACCTCAATAGTACCCTCCAAGCCCTGTTCCACGTACCAGCCCTCGTTAATTGGCTGCTGTCAGATCCACATCACACAACAAAATGCGAGCACAACGAGGGCGGCGGTGAGTGCCTTACCTGCGCAATGTCCAAGACATTACAGTTCAGCCATGAGAAATCCGGCAACGCCATCAAACCCTTTTACATCTACAACAAGCTCAAACTAATATGCAGAACAATGGTGCCTGGTCAGCAAGAGGACGCCCACGAGTTCCTGAGATATCTCCTCGAGGGAATGGAGAGGGCATATTTATCACGTCACAAAGCCCTCAAACTCGACTCGTACTCCAAAGAGACAACACCAATCAATCAGATATTCGGTGGTTACATCAGAACTGAAGTCAAGTGTTTACAGTGTCGTCATGTGTCAACGACATTTCAACACTTTCAGGATTTACTCGTCGACATCAGGAAGGCAAGCTCTCTCGATGAAGCACTCACTAGCTACTTCAGTCGAGAACAGCTTGACAATAATGATTACAAATGTGAGGCTTGTAAACGCAGGGTACCAGCTACCAAGCAATTCAGTTTAGAGAGACCACCGAAAGTTCTCTGTGTACAGCTCAAGAGGTTCAGTGTTATGGGTGGTAAAATATCTCGACACATTGCGTTCAAGCAGACTGTTGATATGGGACCTTATCTCTGGAGGGAACCCGGTGAAACACCCAGAAAGCTCAATTATAAACTCATGTCGATGGTTACTCACATGGGGCCTTCTGTCAATTGTGGTCATTACACTGCTGTTGCACAGGTTTCCACTGGACAGTATTACTCATTCGATGACTCGTGCGTCAGGTCTATAAATATTACTAATGTATTGAGTACTAATGCTTATATCATGATTTTTGAGATGGAGCCGCAGGGGAATAAACTACCGAGTCCTCAGCCCAAGTTCAATGGACTGGGAAGTGTCAGGGGATTGAGTAATGGAAATGGAGTCAAGGCGATGAGCCCCAAGCCCTCGACTTCTGGAATTATCAATGGAGTTAATGGTGTTGTCAAGAAGGAATCGACTCCTGTTATTGGGCCACAGCTTCCACACAAGAATATTCAGAAGAATTCTTTTATTGGGCCACAGTTGCCTCCCAAAATGGTGGAGAAGAGTCAGCCGAGACTTGTGGTGCATATCAAGAATGGAAAGGTTCTCAGTGGAAGTAGTCTGGTGCCCTATGATGGATCTAGTGATGAGGAAGAGGCTGGGGTACCTGGGAAGAATGGGATTGGACAGAAAGGGGTCAATGGTGGGGTTGGTAAAGTCAAGGAGGTGAAGGAATTTAAAGATGTCAAGGAAGTCAAGGAGAGGATCTTGACGGGTGGGAGGGAGAAGAGGGAGAGGGTGGAGAAGGTCGAGAAGATCGAGAAGGTGGAGAGGATGGAGAAGGTGGAGAGGGTGGAGAAGGTGGAGAAGATCGAGAAGGTGGAGAGTTCTCTTAATGGAAGGGGCAGTCCCAAGCAGAATGGCAAGGAGAGAAATGAGAATGGGAAGGACAAGTGGTGCCCTATCAGGGTAAACACTGAGGAAAGGGTTCTCACTAAGGCTGCCAGCAGCATCAATGGGTGGGAAGTCACCAAGGATACACCATCACCAACTTCTGGAGCTACACCCAATGGCTGGTCCGTTACTGATAACAAGTTGGTATTTTTTCACTGGTTAATTACGAAATTCGAAAATTGACAATCAGTTGATCGATTGATCAATAAATTATGACGAGTGCAACTTGTGTGGATTTATTGTATGGGTGCAATAATTTGTAATTAGATAATTGGATTTTATCATTCAAATTGAATTTTCATGGAGGCAATGTAATCTTTGAGGTAATTGGGAGAATCGTTATTGATTAATGAAATATTTATTTTTTCAGGGATGAAAGTAGAAAATCAAATCACACGACATCAGCACCGAGTGCTGCAGCCCCTCGGAGTTTCAACGGTACAAATCGCTCCGAGACAGTCTCCCATCTTCTGAAAATGTCCCATCGTGGATATGGAAGCTCATCGGGTCAGTACATGAAAAAATCAACAAATAAATATCAAACTGTACCCACAATACCCACGTCATCAAGACTTGTCAGTTTAACGTCAGACTCGGCGCATCGTTGTAACGCATGTCGTGATATATCAGCACGTGAATCCAAGATTAGCGCTAAATCAATCCCATCAAAATTATTCAATCAGTGTATTAGAAAAAAAATCGGTGTTTGGATTCCCTGAGGAATCAATTCCCTTTTTAGTTCGTCGTTTTACAATTCACTGTCTTTTTCTGGTATTGATGAGAAAAAATTCTATCAAAATATATATTAAATGCTGATGAAGGATTAACACATCCCAAATTGTTTTTCATTTATTGTAAAATCACTGAGTTGGTTAACAAGTGGTAAAAAGTGATGACTACCGAAATAATGATCCAAAGGATAACAAATCCATATGTATCTATTTTTTTTTCATTTTTTTTGTCTTCCAACAGTGACGAATTGGAATGGAAATAGATCTCATCTGGACCGTGAGGTGGAGAACGAGAGGCGAGAGGAGCGAAAACGTCATCATGACCCAGATGATGAAGAAATGGACAGGGGTAGAACGAAGAAATTAAAAAATCATCGTGAATACGAGGGTAGATCAAATCCCGGCTACAATCCCTTTCAGGAATATCAGAACGGCAAAACGTGGAATCGAGGGAGCAATGGACCTTATCATCGACGTAATTACTACAACACTTCCAGTCATAATCGTCCACGTCACGGTGGTAATTACAGACAACAGCAGTACCGATATCACGGACACAATCGCGACCACTGGCAGCGTAGATAAAATGATAGACAATTAATCAATTAACGAGAGAAAAAAAAATAAACATAGAGGCGAATGACTATTTCATTTCCTCTAGCAATATTTAACCTGGGAATTAGGCATTGCATTTTCTAGGACAATTGTGTACCTTAGGGGGTGGGGGGGAAGGGGGTGAGATTTGTGTCCTCAACACGTCTTAATTATTATCAAGAAATAATTTAATTTCTATCATTTGTCCAGGCAAATCGCCACAAAGAGGAGATTTATTCAAAATAGCGATTAATTTCGATAAATTCTCCTCTGGCTTCGATAATTTCAATGAATTTCATATTTTCCATTTTTGCACCTCGACACTACTGTAAGAAATAAAAGACTCAACTTGCCATTAATGAAGAAGTTCCTTGAACGCCAGACACTTTGATAAATTAAAGAAAAAAGCAAACTATAACACGTTAATCCGTCCTAATTCACTAACCATTGTACCCAGCAGGTGTATTCCCCTTTGATACAGAATACCTAGGCTTTTATTCAATGAAAAAACCCGAGAACAGAACTGAATATACGATTTTTACATTCGTTTCTACGATATTATTAAATAATGATTAATCAGTTGAGGCATTAACTGGATTCGATGAATTCGTTGGTGATAGGAATTTAAGTGAATTTTTTTTTCTCATTTCTCGTGTTTATCATTCTTCCCCCGTTCGAGCCTGGTTTTTTATTGTTAATCACAAAGAGAATAAATTAGGAGACATTTGACATATGGATTTATTATTATTGTCATTTTGTTAATCTCCAGCGTTTACTGAAGCGTTAAATGCCTATAGGCGCTTTCAGCATTAATGACTAAGCAATTATCGTAAGAAATCGACAAGAGCAAATATTAAGAAAAATAATGATTATTCATAGGGTAATGATAGTTGTAAATTACTGAAAAATGAGAGAAAATGTAATTTTAAGGGATTTTCCAATTGGAAAAGGGGGAGAAATCGATGGTGAGGATAAGGGATGTTGATGTACACCGGGGAATCATTATCTGTAATCTCCCAACGTCAATTTGTAATATTTTTCCTATGTACCCGATATTGATATCGATTGCCCTCGGTGTGCAATCATAAAACATGATAAAATCATTACCTCGTTTTACTGTTCTACGAATTAATACTAGCCAAAAAAAAAATGAATAAAATGCGACAAAATGTTATATTAAGTATAGGGGCTGCGTAATTAATTATAAACGACTAGGAATTTGTGAATTTATGACGTTTTATTCAGAAGAAATAAATTTGGGAATCGAGGGGTGAGATTAAATTATTTGATCTTATTTTGACACCAGTTTTTTATGGATATCTTGAGATCTAGGGGAGACAGCGATATCTCGAAGGGAACTTTTTTGTAGAGAATTTCGATACCTAGAAAAAAGGTTCAGATGATTTTTTTACTATCTCTCGTAGATTTTGAGATATTTTGGGAGAAGTGAATGGTCAACTGAAATCCTCTCATCCCTTTTTTACCAAACGACTCAATCAGTCGAAATTAATTGAACATTGCCGCCAGAATTGATTTGTGTATGTTGCAATTGAAATCTCAATGAATACACATTTGTATAATTATTTAATCTGGTGTAAAAATCAGAACTGGCTGTTATAATAAAATTGCAGAGAAAAAATGAAGAAATTGGAGTGAATGATGGAAAGAAATATGTGTGTTTTGTTTTTTTCCGTCCTTTGTTTTTTAATTTTAGTTTATTTAAAATGGAGCAAGAGGAGTGCACGGAGTTTATTATTTTGCAGGATCAAGCGACTCTTCTGGAGACCTTGATGAAAAACGTAAAAAATCATTAACAATTTTCATTATTCCCCTGCATTCTAAAAAATGGAAAATCTACCGGATTATTTCGTCAATATCTCCACACCGATAGGGTCTACACAAAAAAGTGATAACAGCTTTATCATGAAAAATTTCCTGAACTAGAAAAAAGTCTTATGATATTTTGTCGTAAGTCCAATAATTCAGGAAATATTGACGAAATAAGAAGGAATACTATATTTGAGTTGTCATACATTTTTGTAGAGTGTTCAATTGTCTTGAGGAATATAAATAAATTATAGGAGTTTAATAATATTTTTTATAGGTATCAATTTTGAAACATGAAGCCCCTCAGGTCACGCTCATCGACGCCGAGCTGGAGATTCATCTCGTGACGTTCAAGGAAATTTCCAACAATTTATCAATTAAACTCGGAGCATTAAACAAATTATCAGAGCGGTTGGATCCTGAGAGGAAGAAAGATGTCCTCGGGTTTGTCGAGAAGATCCAAGAGTCTTGGAAGAAGACAGTGAAAGAGGTACATCTAAACCAGTAAAATAAAAACCATCCCTCGACTCCTGTCAACTGACCTGGCTCTGACAACTCCCCCGTTTTTCCAAAAAATCTCGAAATCCAAGAGAGATACCGCAATTTTTATCACGACATTTTTTGTAGAGTTAATTCAGAACTCCAAGAAAGGTCTTGCCTAAAATTTCGGTATCTCCCTTAATTTCGGAGATATCTTTGAAAAACAGCGATAAACTCAATTTTAATGAACTTTTACAATTGCATAATTGTCTCCAGATCACAGATGAGCACTTGAATCTATCAGTAGTAAGCAGATCAGCCTATGGCCACCCTCTGACATCAATCCTATCGGAGATAAAACGAGAAACCTCAGCAATTCAGGTGTCCCTTCAAATCGGCGAAATGATATACGACAGCGATTTCGTTCTCCAGGGATTCCTCTACTGCACCGAGATCTTCAAACTTCTGAATGACATGGAGGGCTGTGACAAGCGAATCCAGCAGTACCTGGTGACACCAAAAGTCACTGCCTTCCTCCAGGGATTGGATACAACGGTGGAGGCCTTCTCCAAGAGCAACGATCTCCTCCCACCGAAGGAACAACAATTAGAGGTATTCTCTAAAGTCTCGTCTCTCCTCACTGAAGAGCTCCTCGGCTGGAAACCAGACGATCCTGACGCTATCCTCAAGGACAGCAACCCCAAGAGGCCAGTCTTCATCACAAAGAACACGAAACGAACGCAAGTGAAGAGACTAGCGAATTTACCGCTCTTTAATTCAGTTCATAAAGAAAAATCAACGAATTGAAAATCTCTTTGAATTAATTCCAGAGGTTCGATGACTTCTTTATCCCAATTTTTACTCGTCATTCTCCCTTATTTAATTAATTTCTTTAATTAACTTTAACTTATCCAATCAATGACTTCCACCGAGTGAATCCACTGTAATAAAATAGATAATTAGATAATCGTTAATTAAATTATGACAGTAATGAAGTAGAGCCATAAAAATGATCTTGCTTTATTTTATTTCACGTACCTTCCACAAAATCAATTAGAATGATAAACTCTCTCCTATTTAATCGTAAATTCTATCAATAGATTTATAAATATGATACAATGACTCCGTAAATAGTCCCGAGGGAGCAGATCACGAGACAAAATAACCAATATACAAATTTGAATGTCTTGAGTATCAGACTAATATCCTGGTATTTGCTGAATGATTTGAGACTAGATTTACATTGAATAAACTTGGCTTTAAAAAATTCCCTCGAGATCTGTCAGAACAGTTGGTGCACCGAGCCTGAGGGTGAGGTCACGTCGTCGCATGAAAGCCGGTGGTAATATTTGGGGCCTCTCTGGGGCCCTGGGGGTGGGCACTTGATAATTTTTGGCAACTGGTGCCCAACCCTTGTTGTTCAGGCACTTGTAGCAGAGTTTTCTCTCACCTAGACACTGGGAATGATATCCATGGCCACAACCAAAGAACACTGTGTAGTCTGTGCACTGGGTCAGCACCTGTCTGCACACTGGACAAGTCATGGAAACACTAGCGCATCCCCTTCCCGAATCTCTGTGAAACAATTTGTTTAACATTAATCCACTCTACGACAATAGAGTAATCATGAGATTATTTAATTATTCCTTGACAATCCGTAAATTATTCTCAAATTATTATCAAATTATTATCAAATCATTATTCAATTATTATTAACCTGAGAGTTTTTTTGAGTGCCTCATGCAACTCTAGACTGACAAGTCTCGCCGTAGTTTCCACGAGGACCTGCTCGTACCTAGAATGAGTCAAAACTCCAGTCAGCAGCTGCCTGATGTCCCCGATTGTGCCTGAGGTAGCGAGTGGATGTTTGAGAATCTTCTCCAGAACCATGGAGAGAGCAGTAGTTCCACTCAACGCCTCCAGAACAACTTTGAGAAGTCTTCCCCTGAGTTTTTCAACCCTCTGATCGCCCCCAGAGTGCGGCTGGAGGACAGTCTCAACAAGAGGCATCCAATCAAGATTTCCAGCAGCTCTCCTGCACAATCCTGCGAGCTGCACCGTCATCTTGACGACTTCCTCCTCCCCCATGGATTCCTGGTGAAAAAGTCCCAGCCTCTCCTGGAGATCTCCATGCAGAAGCTCAAATGCCTCCTGATAGTTTCCCATTTTCTCCAGCATCACAGCAATCCCTTCCTTGTGCCCTGCCTCCTGGACAATCCTCAAGGCCTCATCCATTCGACACCCATGAATTCCTTTCACGTGCCCCACGACAGCTTTTGGATCAAACTGACACATGAGAGTTAAAAATCTCTCCAGATGTCCAGTCGTCAGCTCCAATTTACTCTCCTCATCCTCTCTAAACTGATTAATATGATACAATGAGGACAGCAGTAAAAATTCCAGTCTCGGTTCGTTCTTCAGTTTATTCAGGATTGCAGATAATTTAGCTGGAATTCTGATGAGAAAGCCAGCGACTCTGTCAGCGTCGAGCTCAACGAGAGTTGCGACATGTGATGTCAGAACTGATTGAAAGGCTCCATTCGGTAATCTCTCCAGCCACTGCCAGACCTCGTGCTTTCGATAATTATCTCCAATAATACATTTGCAGACTGATATCCAGTCGTCCCTGGCTGTGTACACGACTTCGGCAACTCTCAGGAACTTGGCCCTCTGGGATAAATTCAATATCGTGTTGTCAGTGATTCCATTGAGTTTTTTAGTATTCAGGAGCTCCAGGAGTGCATTCTCCCTCTCTAATTTTTGATCCCTCGTGACGATATCCCCAGTGTCTGCACAGAGAACCTCAATTAATCGATTGAGAGTTGTTGACTCCAGGGATATAGTGCCCTCAGCCATTTCGTTAGCCACGAAGACGAGGACAGTTGCCCTCTGATTGCTCGTGAGGTAATCAGGACTGTCTGGACTGACTGGAGTCGTTGGCATGACAATTGAGAGAAGAATATCGACGAGCCTCTGCCTCTGACGCAATCCCATTTCAGTCTTGAATTCTGGCTCCTGAAATGCCATGGAGATGACGTCGAGAAAGCCCCGAGGATCGAATCGCAGTAGAGTCCTGAGATAAGGATACTGACGCTCGTTGTCTTCAGCGAGACTGGAATGTTGTGATAACAATGCCCTGAGGACTTCAGCTTTGGCCTTCTGAGGCTGATCCTGAGGGAGATCACCCCTGGGGAATCCCCGACCTGCCAGGCAACAGCTGGCATACACCAGGAGGGCATTTCCTAGCTTGATGCACTCCCTGGGCAACACCTCTTTTGTATTCGTTAATAAATTCTGGAGAACTGGCATCAGCTGGTGAATGGGGGCTGTGAAGTCACCCAGAGCTGATGTCTGGAGGTGAATGAGCGCCTCCCAGAGGCATCTGTTCCTGCAGACGGTTGTCACCTGGTGAATATCCAAACAATCGACATCAAGGAGAACTACCACTGCCTGGAGGGGCTCCAATCTCTCCTCTTTATCGTACAATTCCACCAACTGTTGAGCAATGAGAGGGGGCAGTCTGGGGGACAAGCTGCCATCGAGGAGAGGACTCTCAAGAGCCCTCAGATAACTCCCCTTCAACCCCGGCGTCTCCGACACCAGATCCCAAAGAGCACCGAACAACAAGTGAGTATTCTCCAGCTGCACAGCATAATCTACACACGTCGCAATGATATCACTCTCATTTCCATAATCACATGGAGATCTTATGAACTCATGCATGTACTGCAGCAGCACCTCACTCGTCTTGATGAAGGTCAACCTCTTCCTGAGCTTCTTCAAGCCACTGAGACCCACCACAGCTTTACCCTTGTCCTGGTGAAAGGAGAGACCAAGTGCCAGTGCCTCTGGGAATCTCTTCTGGAGTGTTAGATATCTCAGTCTCTCAGACCACGTCCTGATGAAGACAACGTGGAGTCTTCTCGTCCCCAGGAGAAGCAGTTGACTACCATAAGTGATAACTGTGTTGTAACAGGCACGCTCTCCAGCCAATGCCATCGCCTTGGAGACATTTCCACCGGTGGAGAGACCCTTGAAGTGACTCGAGGCATAGGAAATTCCCACAGGATTCATGTCTATCGTCTCCAAATCCTCCTGCGTTCGAACGTCGATCAGATGGAGACGCTCCTGGGTATCGAGAACAGCTAGGGATCTTGTGTTAAGCCATCGAAGATTACTGATTGTGTAGGACAGCGTCATTCTCCTCAGGGGAGTCAGTCTCACTCTGGAGCCAGCCTCTGAACACACCTGGTAGAAATGAACAGTCGTATCCCTCGCCAATGCCAGCACTGGATCGATTACTCTGGTAGCATCTGGCGCTTGAATCACCACCAGCTGCCAGGACACCTGGGGTGGGGCTACTGTTGGACCTGACAGGGGATGCGTCAAGACAACTCTCATTCTGGGTCGAATGCACACTACAATCACCTTGGAAAGTGTCGCCAGGGCGACTAGTGTATAATTCTTCAGGGGATGCCTGGGGAGATTATTCAGCAGAAGCGGCTCCATCGTGCAGACTTCACCCCTCGATCCACTGAACAGACACTTCGAGTCACAACCTCTCACTCCCATTACTCGGGTGAAACTCAACTCGAAAACCGATCCACCGCTGTCACTGCAGAGGGCCAGGGTCGGGGAATCCGTGAATTTCACGTGGAGTACTGCAGTCCCTGGTGGATGCACCTCAGTCAGAGTTCGCAGGACTTTTCCATTTGAACTGTCTATCATGAGAATGTGGCCGCGGGCATAACCTGTGAGTAGAGAATACGATTAATTTATTTTTAATAATTTATCATTAAATAATCAAAAATATGTGAAAATTAATTTATCTTGAATTATTCGTTTTACATCACTACAGATTCATCTTCGATACCTGCCTACCTGCGAGCAATCTCGTCCCATCATGATTGAACCCCAGGGATGAGACTGCCCCCTGATGACGTGCCTCCTGGTTGCACCACCTCAGGGTCTGCTTGGAATCAAAAGCAAGAAGAAGCCCGTGACTTGTCCCAATTATCAGTAGATCACCACCAGCTGCCACTGCGCTCGCAAGACCCCCATTGACCTTCTCCGATGCGGATTTAATCTGGGACGTGATGCCCCGCATTATCGCGTGCTTCAGGATGACCCCGGATAGGGGAATCTCCGGATTTCGAGCTGTCGGCTTGTTCAGGGAATTCAAGGACAGAAGACTACCAACACTCGTTGTCTCACTACCCTCGACAGCCTCTGCCGAGGCTACACCGATGTCCAGGTCAGTTCCTGATAATTCCCCTGTGTCCTGCTCCGTCAGGATACTCTCCAGGGATGGCAGGTGGTCCACCGCTGGTATCGCGTACTCTGCATCGTCCAGCTGATTGATTTATCAAACAAATTGTTCATCAAATATTCAATTAAATAACGAATTCCCTGACATCAACGGGAATCGCATTTGAGGCGCGTAAGACCTTTTGCGGTAAAATAAAATTAGTTACAAATATGGAATGGAGTCAGGAGCACATCCTCGTGCAGGAAATATTTTATTTTTTATTTTAGGGGAATTTAAGGGGACATTAGGGGGCTACTCAGGAATCAACAGCTGATTGTGTTCAGCTCCCCTTTGGAATTGATAGGGATAACCTAGAGGTGAGACTCCGAGGTGACGGGGCTGGGGATTTACCTCTTCGATATCCAGGTTTATGGCATCGATGGCCAGATTCTCCTGGGATCCACCCCCCGATGAACTGTCCTTGTCTGCCATTTTTACAGACGGTTTTAGGCTACTGTCAAACTACACCCGCGCGTAACACGCGCCATTTTACTGTGCGTGCGGGGGGAGGGGTGCAGCTTTCACCGGGAATTTTCGAATAACATGAGATATTCAAATTTATAAATCTCCCATGCACTAATTATTAAAGATTCAATTAGAAAAATGGGAATACCTCAGGCATTCATTATTTAGGTCACAAATTAATAATTTTGGTAATAAAATATTATACTATTAATTATTATTGCTTGTTTAATAACGAGGTAACGAATTCAGGGGATGAATTTTGTCTCAAAATGGAAGATTGAACAGATAAAATAAAATGATGACTTTTTTAATTAGAAATTGGGTTTTTAGTTCAGATGCTGTCTAATAAAAATTCTCTTGAACTCATAAATCAGTCGATGTTGAGTTCATGATGAAAATCAGCTGTATCCCAGGCAACCCTCGATGTTTCCTCGAAAAAATCTGCGCATTATAAAATCGAATGAAATATCGGAAGAATCTTCTCTTATTGAATAAAAAGAGCTCATAACCCCCGTGAGTATTGACTCTGATCTTCCAGATGATGATTTTCTTCTGGTCTGGAAGATCGTGGAGATCTTCTCCAATAATTTATAAACAATGATTTTATGAATCTTTGTTTGCAGTTGATGTTGGTGATGCAGTTGATGTTGGTGATGCAGTTGATGTTGGTGATGCAGTTGATGTGGGTGATGCAGTTGAAACGACAGATTAAAATTCAAGGAATGAAAATTGATTGAGGTATTCAGGTATTTATGGAGATTAATCACTAAGAGGTAACACGAATGTACGACATCGCAATGAGCATTAAATTACGTACATTATTCTGGTGTCACGAATAAGCGTAGCGTGCAATCCATGTAACCGAATAAATATTATCGATTTAGGTGGCATTTGTTGATGTGAATAACCAGAAAATATACCTCGCATATACATTTATTTTCTGTTTGTGACAGGACAATTAGGTGGAATAGATATAGCCAGGTATTCATTACATTCTGAGCTATTTCGAGGAAAATTGACCTGGGGAATACCGAAAATTTACGGCTGGGAGGAGATCCTGTCACGCAGTGCAAATAAGATATAACTTGAGGTACATTATGTAGATGTGGGCTAAAGTTTAAGTTAAATTGTCAGACAAGTTGCGACAGCTGTAGATTAGAGGTTTTAAAAAGAGGAAAGTTGGGGAGTTAAGGAAGTAATTAAAGAATTAATTGAGAATGTCGTCAGGCAGGAGGAATTCTTGGATTTTATCAGGTTCTAACAATTGTTTCTTTATTATTTGTGATAATACGTGGCTTTTTTTATTTTCTGTAAAAAATTGGGGGAGGTTCTGAGATTTAAAAGGGAAATTAGCATTTTTATTTATATGGAATAATTAGAAATAATTATGAGTAATTAGGAATGATAAGGATAGGTACGGTATGAATCTGAAGAACTTGAGAGATTGAATCACAGATAAGGGATTATTTCTAGTAGATTCGAATAAATATCTCCAGTCGTTCGATTATGATCACAGATAGGGGTGGATGGTCTTTATTCTGTTCTGCTCTCTCTGCCCTTCTATAATTAGCTTCTCTCTTTTTCCTTTCTGGTGGAAGAAGTGCCTTCTGCTGCTTTTTTTTTCTTCTTTTTTTCTTCTGATGGGTCTTCGTATTTATCCACGTGACGTCGCGTGCTTCCCTCGATGTCGATGTCGACCTCCGAGGACACGATAAACTCGAGTACTGCTTTCACAAACTCTTCACCAGTCTCGAAATGTACCTTGAGGAGAACACGTGGTTTATTTCATTAAGGAATTCTTGAGGGAATTTAAAATTTCAAGATGTTGAGAGGGAAAAGAGTAATTCAATTTTTTCCTCCATCAAGAAAAAATTTACTTTTTTTTTTAATTGATTGATTGATTGATTTATTTATTTATCGATCGAATTCTATTGGTTTATCTTGATAAACACTTTAATCCACTCAATTTGTTTATTCTATTTAATATTAATTAATCCATTTAATATAATTTAATCAATTCTAATTAATTCCATCTAAAATAATGAAATGGAATTTTCTGAATATTTTTCCCGGTTTTTTTTTAAATTTGTGTTTTGACTTTTTATTAGTGAATTATTGGTTTGAATTTAAATTATAAATTGAGATTGTTTTTTAAAATTGTTGAAGATCGTAATGCTCGGTTGTCGGTGGAAAACAATTATTTGAGAATTTTTATTAAAAAAATCGAGAAATTGCAGAACATTTAGAATAATTTGTTGAGATCGAGTTTAATAATTATGATTATATAATTTAATAATAATAATTGTCATGTCAGGGTGGATTGAAAGGGAAGAGGAGAATGGCGAAGAAAGCAGCACCAGCAGCTCTTCAAACTGAAGTTTCCACTGATGAAGAATGGGCCAAAATTATGGAACGAAAGGGTCTCGTTGGTAAATTCAAAAACACAATGATTTCCATTTATAAATAAAAAAATACTTGAAAATATGAGATTACCAATTGAACATATAAATTTACATCCTCTCTATTGTCATATTGTTATCATCATTTGGTCAATAATTAAATAATCAATTAATAATGAATTAATAATCAGTTGTAGATGTTTATTCGGATTGGTGTGGGCCTTGCAGTGGAATGGTCAGCATTTTGAAGAAAATAAAGATGGAAATTGGTGGTGATCTGCTGAGTTATGCTATCGTGCGTTAAAAAGAATATAAATAAAGGATATAATTGTTAAATGTTCATGAAGAATTAATAACTTTATTCCAGGCGAAGTGCGACAACATCTCAGACCTCGAGAGGTTCAGAGGGAAGAGTGAACCCACTTGGATGTTCATCCACGTAAATATCCTTTATGTGCATTTTATATACCTTTTATGTACCCTATATATACCTTATATATACTTATGTGCCTCTGACACCGCCGAAACCGAAAATTGAATGAAAAACTAATTCACTAGAGAATTCTCGTGAATTTTTATTATAAATTTTATCAGTTCTTCACCGATTGCGTTAACAATCTGCCGAAATTTTGGATAAAATCTGGAGATGTGGTATATTTTTTAGAATGGAATGATGGTGAATCTAATGTTTGGCGCCTACTGCCCCGAACTCCAGAAGATGCTGACCGACGAGATTCAGAAAGTCCAGAAAAATGAGGATCACGAATTTTGTATTCCAGTCGCGGAGAGGAGCCCTGAGGAGCAGAAGCGATTGGAAATCGGGGAGGAAGAGAGAATAGCTAAAGAGGCTGCAAAAAAGGCGCAGAAAGGTTCGTAAATTAAACTCAAACAATCACCAATAATAACCGATTAATAAACAAATCTCTAGAACTTTTTCAATTTTCTATTTTCAAAAACTCCTCAGGATTTTCCTTGGGAATATTATCTTGTGAAATTGATAAAAGATAATCATTTATTCTTTTAGGAGACGAA